CTTAAGTTATAGGTGCCAATTTTTTTGTAATGCTTTTTCTGAATCGTTTTGAATTTTTTTTGGACTATCGTGGTTCATTATTGTTGAATTCGAGCATGTTAGATGGATTATGTTCTTTTCATTTATAAGCTTTTATTTAGTATGTACCGCAATACATAATGGATGAATATCTTATTGCTTTCGTGATTGAAGTGTAATATACTAAAATTTCATTGAGCATGCTTTTTTATCAACATGGTGTCAACCACAATATGGTGATTAGGTGTCTAGAAAACCAGTTTGCTAGGTTGTTTTATCTTACGGGTCATCCGGTGGGCTAACATAAAAACAATATGTATTTCTTGAAAGCAGAAGTTAAACTCTATCTTTCTTGTAAATTTATATTAATACAATAACATACGTCAATATATTTACGAATATCCATCATCTCTTTGATTTCAAATTTTAAAATGATTACTACTCTTGGACGTTTTATTGGATGTCAAACAACAAAAAGTCCATTCCAATTTAACAATGAAAAACATTTAATTGAAAATATTATGTATAGAAATCCAATACATTCAAAACATTAACATTACCAACCATCCCATGCACTGCATGGGCTGCACACTAGTTATGTTTAAAAAGGTATGAACCTTGCATCCTTGTCAAAATCAAACTGGTCTAGTTACAGTTGCAGACCAATGTCATACTACAACACCAGGAGTATAGGACCTTGGAGATCATGAAACTAAAAAAGAAAAAAATTAACCTAGCACCGTATGATGGTCATCGTGTTTTCCTACCAATAATTCTTACAAAAATTGTATTTTAGCACTCACTTTCACTGTAAGGGAAGTGGTATTTCCTAATTTACTGAATCATTTTCACGTGTAACCATAGTATACATCCGTTACAAGTGAGGGCATATTAATAAAATTTTGGAAGTATCACCCTAAAAAAGCTCGAGTCAGCCTGGCTCGATGCTCAAAGACACCGAGTCAAGGCTCGGGCTGAGCCCGTATGGCTCGACGAGTCACAGGGCCAGCACCTTTTTTTTTTTTTTTTTTAAAGGATTAGCAATTAAAAGAGTAGGAGATTGTTTCTAAACATTCTCTCTCTCATCGTGTTGTTTGCAAGATTAATTGGTTGAAGAATTGTATTAAAATGTTCTTTATGGAGAATTTATTAATAATTTTATTCTGGTTTGTTCTTTCTGTGTCCCTTTTATAATTCTTTAATGGAAATCAGTATCAGTAACCATAGATGTTAGTGTAGCTAAAAATATGAATATCCACGTTCCTCTTTTTCTACAGCAGAAAATTTTTGAATACATCGTTATCGAAGCTGTGTCCTACTGTATGTAGAATGAGTGTATGGTACCCCCCCTCGCCACATTATTCTCTGCTGTTCGTAATATTTCTAACCCCTTGAAGAAAATGAAAAGATAAAAATTGGAATTCTCTGAGTCTCAGACATTTGGATCATGTTCGAGAATAATCTTTCGTTGTTTATGAAAATTTACTTTGGTCATGATTTGCACTATCCCCATTCGAGACTTCTTCTGTTCTTGTTTGGCTTTTGAAAATTAAAGAATTACCCTCTCAGTAGATACTTTGAATTACTGTCATGGACTCATGGGTATGCTACTCCAGCTATATTCCATGTCCACCAACCTTCTGGAATCTGATACGGTACCAACCATTTGCTGCAAGGCAACTACTACTGCTTGCTTCGAAGTATTTGATTTAACATATCTAGCCTTCAAAGAGCCAAATCCCAGTCTGTATAGGTCCCGTGATTCTGACAAGCTATATTTTATGACTTAAAACTTTACCATTGTAATTAATGATTTCCCTTCTGATTGCTTGTATTGATTACCCTCTTAGCCATCCTTTCAGGGTCATGATGTTGTTGGACTGCTACGTATCTTGAAAATTTTTTTAGGACATGAAAATCTATTAGCTTTGATTTGATTGGATTACAATTGCTTGTAAAGAGTGGATCTGGAGGAGATTTCCTTGGTGGATTCCACAAAGCATGTTGATTTGGTAAGTCAGTATTAATTTAGTATCCAAATATCACTGGCCTGAGCAGGCTTCAGTTAGAAACATGTGAAGTTGAGTCACGATCTGTTTACCCTGTACTTGTGTGTTTTCAGCAATTTTCACTAGTTCTTAATCTTATATTATTATGTTTTTACCCAGACTAAGTATTCCCAAGACTTCAAATGAAATGCCTACTTTATTTTTTAACTAATGCTCCCAAGCAGCAAAGGAGAAAAAAAAATCCGAGCAAGGTTGGCTCAGCAAGGCCCGAGCCGAAAGCTCGGGTCGAGCCTTAATTTTTTAGCCGAGCAAAAGCATGACATGAAAAAGCCCAACTGGGAGTTTCCGCTCGCGAGCCGGCTAGGCTCAGCTTGTTGACACTCCTAAGAATTGATGATAAATTGGGTGGCAAGATATAAATAATAATTCATAAATAATGAAAAGAAATTGTGTTATACCTACAAATTATCTCATGCCCTACCATTGGGCTTCGACTTGAGCCCATTTTACAATGTATGTGTAATCCATTCATAATTATGCTATGAATTCTAACCCTGGCCAAAATTCATCTACATTCTTTTGCACTCATTTATCTTTGGTCTAGCTCTTGATTTAGTCGTCAGAATGCAAATAGTTGTCAGACTTTTTTCTCTACTAGGGACCTTTGCCTCCTAACGGATTGTTCAATATGCAGATAATGTCCATGTGGAGGGGATGATGCCAAGAATCTTTTGGTACATTTTTTTTGGGGCAACAAATTGCACACTTGGTGGTTCACATATTTAGGTGAATTAAGCTATATTCACATTCTACTTAACATTGTTGTTGACATTTTACCTGTGTTAAAATATGGTTAGTGATATAATAGAGAGAGAGAGAGAGAGAGAGAGAGAGAGA